TCTGGAAGAGATGCTACAATGATTTTAGAAGAAATTCATGCATTTAAGCAAGTTGATTCGATATTTATTTTCTGTTTTAAACCTAAAAAATATCAAAATCTTTTACAAAAATTTTCTAAACTGATTGGAATCTATACGGAACGACAAGATTTACTAAATACTCTGAAAGAAAATATTATTCTCGTTGAAAAACATTTAGAAACATTTAGTTTCTATAGTCAACATAAACAAAAAACTACAAGAGATCTTTCGAAAGAATCTGCTGAATTTCTATGGTTTCAAATGTTTAAAGATGTCATTTTGAGATTGCCAAGAGATAGTCATGCGAAGCAACAAATGATTGAATTTTGTCGCCATTATTATTATGGAAATGAAAAACAATTAAAATTTATTCGTGAGTTTGAGCATGACTATAAATCAAGTATGGCTATTAGATGGTATACAAAAGAGACATTTCTGTATAAAACCATCAACAAAGCATTAAGAACTGAAGACATTGAACAATTACATACATTTCGATTTTTTATTGCTGATCTATCATTGAATCTTGCTGCTGAATATGAAAAATTAATAAAAAAAGGTGAAAAAATCATTATGCTGTATTGTGGACTACAAATCGAAAGAAAAGAACTTAAAACTTTAAAACAAAATGAAGGTAGTCTAATTTCAACAAATGGTTTTCTATCAACAAGTCGTTCAAAAAAGCAAGCACTTAAGTTCGCTACAAGATCGACCAAACGTACAGATGTTGTTGCCGTTCTGTACGAAATTGAATGTAATACAGAACAAACAGACTCAATCATTTTTGCTGATATTGCAAAATTTAGTGATTATCCAGATGAAGAAGAAGTTTTATTCGATCTTGGGACAACATTTGAAATAGTTTCTGTCAAGGAAGATGAAAAATTAAATCTATGTTTAATTAAACTAAGAGCTAATGATAAAGGATCTAAAGTAGCTAAAGAACATATTGAATTAAATAGAAAAGATGAAGAAGAAACTAGTGTTGAACTCATATTTGGCAAATTATTAATTGATATGGGACAATATGATCAATCATTAAAATACTTTCAAAGTTTGTTGTTACATGATCATACACAAAAGGATGATATCGCAAAAATTAATAATTTAGTTGGATCGACGTATTATAATAAAGGTGATCTTGAAAAGGCACTTGAATATTATAAACTAGCTTATAATTTAATGATGAATGATAAACCAATACGAATAAAAGATTCAGCGAGACCCTTAGCAAATATAGGTCTTATTTATCACCGAAAAGGTCAATACGATCGTGCACTTGAATTATATTCGACATCTATACAAATATTTGAAACATACTGTGGAAAAGAAAATATAAAAACAACAAAAACACTTACGAATATTGGTAATATATATACAGAAACTCGAAAATACAAGCGTGCATTACAATATTATGAAAAGGTGCTAAAAATTCAACAAAAATGCTTGCCATCCGACCATATTGAGACTGCTATGATATTGAACAATATTGCAGTCGTATATCAAAAATTGAATTATCTTGATTGTGCCATTGAATATTATCAACAATCATTAAATATGAAACAAAAAATACTTCCACCTGATCATAAAGATATTGCTGTTACAAGAAATAATGTTGCAAAGATAAATGAAAGAAAACAACATCTTCAGCATGCAATCAATGCCGTACCCATACCAAAAGCCAGAGCTCGAAATATGCTTCAATACAGTCCAACGAACTCTGCCATTGAGAGTGATAAGCTTCACTATCCAGTCAGTCGAGAAGACAGTCCTGAGCTTCACTTTGAATTACAATACTGTTGTAAGATGGAAGAACGTCCTGAGCTTGACTATGCACCGTTAGGATTTCTCTCTAAAAGTCCTGAGCTTGACTACGAAGTGGAAGAATATGGCACAAACGATGAAGATAGTGCTGAACTTTATTATACAACGTCATCAAGTCCACGTCATAAAGTTTCTGAGAAGTCCAATACATCATCAGTAAGGCCTAGTCGTTATAGTCCTGAACTGCAATACGCAGAATGTATGAATTATAAACCCGGGCTCTCAATTTTTTATCAAAACCAACGGTTGCCAGCGGTTCTAAAGAAAACCGACGGCTGAACTCAGTTTTCCTTCATTTATCTTTTTTTCTTATTTTTTTACTAAATTAATATTTTTAGTCTTGAAAAAATCGATTTGAACTTTAAAAATGGTGTAGTTGTGGGTATGGGTGTGGTGGGTGCGGGTGCGGATGCGGGTGTTAAGGTGTGGGTGTAGGTGTGGTTATGGGCGTGAGTGTTGCTACAACTACAATAAAGAGCCCCACACAGATTCCTACCCATACCCACACACTCACTATATATTGATATTCTTGAAATAAACAAATCATTCATCGCTTACATGATTTTTACTTCCGTATGTTTGTTTTCAATTTCAATCAAAATTGATCATTATTTGACCAAAGTACTAATGTTTGTTTTATTTTCTTTACAGGGTGTAGGTGTGGGTGTGGTTGCCGGTGCTAGTATAAAGAGACGAGTGGTCAACAACCACATCCAAACTCCCATATAGGTTCACCAAAGTTATACTAGAAAGAGTCGTAAAAAGAGGGAATTCAATTACATACGATTAATAAAAAATGGTATCTGAAAAATAGAAAAAACAATGCAGGCAAAGAGCCGTAGAAGAAGTGTTGAGGGTTTGGGTGTTTATTTTCTCACCATCTACAACATACTTGATCATTTTGGTAAAGAGTATCTTTCGAATTGATCAATGAATAAGGACAGTAGGATAGGAAAGACTGAAAAGTGTCACATTTTTAGCATCCACTATCATTTTTCAGCATTTTGACCATAACCTCTTTGTTAATTGATTGAATCAAAAAATCTTTTTTTATAGAAATGATCATTAAAAAACACCTCTACAAGGTGGAGTATCTATGGAACCATCGGGTTATATCTCTTAACAAGTTTTTACAGATTCATTGTATAAGATTAATGGTGAAGCACCCTTTCTCCTAAAAATCGAATGGTCTTAAATTAAAATTGTTTGTGTAAAACTTGACTAAAAATTCGAGGTATCGAGCAATCTGAATATACAGATGATATGTAAAAGTTATCGAATTCGATTTTTTCGGACAGTGAAATATTATTTCAAAACAATAGATAAGTTTTATAAATCTTAACTAAGTTAGAAGAAATAGGCTGTTCCTCGCCAAAATATTGAAATCAATAGTTTTAATAGATCGTCTATAGATTCAGATTCCTTGGTTTCACCAACCTCCAGTTAAGTTTCGTTAGAAAAAATCGTTCTTTCCTCAAACTAGATTTCTCTTGATCATTCAAGTACAACTGCCAGTGTATAGTTTTCGCATTGAATTCTTTGGAGGAAGCAGGTTTCAAACAACTCGACGATTAACAGTTATTTGTTGCCATTGATATTGAAGACTTCTTTTGGAAGACAAACTTGTTTTTTCTTGGATGTAACAAGAGAAATATTTGTTTAATCTGGAGTTTTCAAATTAAACTTGTATTATTATTAATTCTTTTTTGAAGCAGTTTTTTAAAATTATTTAAAAGAAAAAACTCTGTGGTTTCTATTGTTTTTCAGTCCCTAACAAAATAAATATAACTTTTATTAGAAAACGAATTATATATTTGAATAGATTAAATATACCCGAAATCCTTTGTTACTCAAATTGAGGGTGTGACTATCGTTTCTATCAAAGTTTTTGCTAAGGCTCATTTTTTAAATACGATTTTAATGACAACCAAAATATCGTTTTCGTCAAGGATTTACAAAACATTAAATTTATCCAGTTTTACTTTTATACTTTTCAAGCTACTATGACTTTCATATTTTTCACCTTTCAATTCCTTTCGTCCTTGTAGGTGGGCTGCTTCCTTCATTCAGATCGAAAATGACCCGAAGATTCTTACAGCTTATGAAACAAGTACAGTTCTGGTTCAAATCCAAAACCAATGAACTGTTGAAAACGTTCTCTGATCTAAACTTATCTATACGAATAGTCATTTCGCTCCTTAGAGTCGACTCAATTGTATCTGGCATGTAGATATCGTGTCGCGAAAAACAATGAACGATCATTAAAGGAAAACAAAATGTATTTAGGTTATTTATCTTGCCCCTAGACATGATCATCGATTTCATTCAGCTACAGAATGGCATGTGATACTAATATGTTCATTATACAATTCTATTTTTATTTACAGGCAAATAAATTGGCATAGTTATAATAAAGGTCATTTGTTTTCAGTGAATTTAAAAGTTGCTAGTTGACATCAAAATTTGTTCTGTTTATATGAAGCAGCAGCTTATTGTGTATGAAAGTATAATTTTTTTCAATGACAGCTGTTAGAACGCCAATTGTTAGTGGTATTAAATCGTTAACTGTTATTGACGCATAATACTACTCAAAGCAATCTTTTATACAAAAGCTGTCAAAGTCAGTGCGAATCTCCTTCTTAAATATAATTATTGAACTGATTGTTACTACTCTTATGTACGCCATTTTCATGTTGATAGTTACTCATTCTCTAGATAATAGAACGTGGCTTAATCGCATAAGACGCGTTTCGAATGTATAATTTGTAATGTGACGCTTTGCAATTAATCCATGTTTTCGTGTATACCATATCTTGCTGAATTTTCGAACGAAACTTCGAATCTCGAAAACATTTTTGCAGGATTAAGTATTTCATGCTTTCTGAATGGATGACGACTTTGATCTTCCACGTTACATAATAGAATACATTTGTATTCGCAAAAGTTTTGTATTATTCTTAGATATCTTGGAATTTCGAAAAGTAATTTTGCGAAAACTTTACTATTTACTTTTAGAAAAATTCAACAGTTAAAGTTTGTAATTTTATTTTTGATCTTATAAGAAAATTGTTCAATGTAAATAAAATCAAAAAAATTGTTTTTCTTCATTCTTAGGAGTCACTAAGAAATAATCGCCGTCCATCAACATACGAAGAAACATTTCAAACGATTCAAAATTCCAATGAAATTTTTATCTAAACATGCTAATAATTTTCGTGATTTTAATTTTAGTTAGTAAAATAAAAAGAAATATTCCTTTGTGAAGTTTTTATTTACTTTTTTTAAAGATTCCATTATTATATTTGTTTTTGGAGTACCTGACAGTCTTGTACTTCATTTTAATTCTGATAATCGAATTAAACTTGATCAATAATTATGTTGGATGTGAGTTTCGTTCTACGAATCAAGCATAATCACAACCGCACCCACACTCATTCCCACCCGCAAATAGAAGCTTTAGTCTGCGTCTGTATGAATGTAAGTAATATGCAGAAGTAATCGTTCTCTAGGCTATGAAACTCACACCTACATCCACATTGAACAAAGAATATGTTAGAAATAAACTGAAATAAAAATAATTAGTTACCACACTTTTATGAAACGATCACAGCTTCAGATATCAGATAGAACCTTTTTATTTTATTGAGTATTACACAAGACTGTTTCATAGATTAGTAATCAAATCAAGTGGGAAATTGGTCGGGAATGATTCATCGATCGGTGAGATGATAACTATTCGGACACGTCAATCTTTATTTCAGCGAAATATGCCATGACACTTTAGTGGTTTAATCGAATTCAGTTTAAAAGAAAAACAGTCAATTATCCGATTGATTTTTGTGTTTGATCCTACCTCTGTAACTTCACAGTAGTCTTGGTTTCATTTGGCACATTCACTCCAACTATCGCCAAATACCAATATACACGACGAGTGACAAGAGGAAAGAAAAAGAGAATGAAAAAAAAAAATAATAGGCAAGGGGACACCCGGGATTGAACCAGGGACCTCTCGATCTGCAGTCGAATGCTCTACCACTGAGCTATATCCCCATGTTAGTAACGTATCACTTGTCACTTGAGTTTCCAATCAACCTAACAATAGAATGTCTATTGATAAGCAACAAAGTTAATCAAACCAATAATTGACAACTTTAGTAATAAAAGAGTCGTTTTTTCCATTCTTGGTAATTCGTTATCTGATGAAATTACTGATGAGCAGATATAACTCAACTTCCTTTGTTTGAAACATAGGAGAACCAATCACACTGAACTATAAAGTTCAGATCTAACATAAAATTCATCATCGTTGATTGAAGACAATTTGAATTTTCGTATAGCACATTCAATCGAAATTTTCAACTCTTTCGCTTGTCTTCTATTCCCTTCACTGAAGGGAGAACCATAAAAAATAAAATGGGTTTGTATGCTATTTTTTGTGTATTTGAAAGCACGCACACGAAGTTAAAATGTGTCGCATGTGTCGTGATTTGCGACACATCCAAGTACGACACGAGGTGCTCGTTGCGACACATTATCCCCAGCGATCCCACGATACATTCTGAAAACGTGTTCGAATCCACTACCCAGCATCTTTTTCATTTTGTTTTGTTAAAGCAAGTCATGAAATTTGTTCCGATTATATATTATTGAATAGTTCCATTTCTGAAAACTCAAGCAGGTCAGATCTTAGGATCTGTCAGGTCTCGAGCCAGTCCGGTTT